AAATATATATTCTTTAACAGTAATTTGACATCATTTCAATCATATATTTTTCAATAAAATAATATTACACGTAAATCTAAAAAATTTTCTTAATTACATATTTCTCATTAATTTGACATGAATAATGCATTTTTTTTCTAAAATGTGGATCAAACATGGGCTTACTAATAAGAACAAAAGTAAACAAGTCCAAATTTGTGTGCTTTTGATTCAATTGAACTCGGACCACAAACAAATGGTCAAAGTCCAAATATTTGATTAGTTAAAAGGAAATTTAGTAAAATAAAAATTTATATTTGACCTTTTTGATGGAAATATGGTGCAAAAGTGACCAACTTAATATAATATAAGCTTGATATTTAAAAAAAAATGATTTTATTATTGTGACATTTTCTCTTCATTGGCAACGCGTAAAAAAAAAGGCACGTATTGGAAATTCTGAAAGTGAGGGCTTTTTCGATTTTTCTTCAGTCTACTGCACATGTTGTTAGTTTGCTCAACTAACATTCTTTAGTCTATTGACTCGAGTAATAGACATGAATTTTCAAATGATATGTTTTCCTTGACTCCATTATTCGATTTGATCAACAATATTGTCAAGAATTTTCAAATGAATAGTTTTACAGCCTGTTTGGGAGTTATTTTTTGGCCCAAAAAATTGATTTTTTGACTGTTATATCATTATTCCAGTCGTCATATTTGACTTCTTCTCTCACAGGTGGACCTCACTTTTATCCCAACAGTCAAAAAATCAATTCTCAAAATCACTCTCAAACAGGCTCTTACTCAAATTTCAATATCCTTACTCCATCCAATAATATTACCAAGAATTTATGAAAGAACAATATTACACAATTGTAATTAATTGACACTTTTCGTAATTTTTCGTATCCGCTATTTCGCTTGACTCCTTATACATCTATAACCCTTGTTTGCATGCATATGAGCGATAAAATTGGAGGTTGCAGAAAAGTTCAAAACTTGACACATTAATTGCTATTTTTTTTTATTTTTTTTTTGGCCTTTCCCAACAAAACCCCTGTTTCAGGTATATTAAAATCATATATAAATTTTGATAAAAATTGATAAAATGTACGATTAAAAATTTATGAATCTCATAAAATATATTATTAAAATAATAATTGGCTTTGAATTGAAATTTTAATTTACATCAAGCATGGACAAAATTAAGAAAAGTTACAAAAATGATGTTAATAAAAAAAAAATTTAAGTAATACTATTTGCAGTCGCTCACTACCTAATTATCTTATGTAGTATACATGTGGCGATTAGTGATTTGATACATTAATGTAGTAATTTCTATTACATTATACAACAAATCACTAAATGTCACATATATGTCATGAAAAACGACTGTAGTAATGAGCAGATGTAAATAGTATTATTTTTAAAAAAAAATTAAGAACTAAAATTAAATGCCGCCTATTATAATGCCTCGGTTCTGCCTAATAAAACCTCTTCATCCTATTCAGCACATTAACTAGTTGAGATCTGTTGTCTCGCTCAATTTTGTTGTCCATCAATTAATTATTGACATATAATTTTGCATTACAATGTCACTTATTTTAAGCATAAGGAGTAGTTAGAGAAAAATTAGATATGTTAATTTAAAAATGTTGTGTTAATAATTATTTGAGTGGATAGCAAATTCAAAATTGAAAAGCGGATTTCAACTTAGCGTTAACTAGGTCCGGTCAATACATAGACTACTCACCACTCGCTATCATGCGCCACGTGCTTACCAAGCTCTTAATTTTGACCCGATGGCCCGATTTACCCATCGAATCGGAGGGAGAATTGCTCATTTTAGTATTATAATATTTGGTACATTTTCATTTATGTTAAAAAGTTAAGAAATTGATTATACTCTTAAAAAGAAAAGTGATGTATAATTTGAAATAAACGAAAAAAATAATAAATTTATCTTCATGGGACGGGGAATATTATTCTTTCCAACTTGATCAAAGTTAGTTAGAAGGTTACACAACAAATGAGTTTCACCATATACACCACATGGCATGGCATTTTCTCACAACATTGTGTTGTAAAAGTATTTTAACATTTTAAATATATGTCACTATAAGTTTATAATCTCCATTTTATCATTTTCATTGGCACATACATGAAATATCAATCATTGTAGACAAAATGTTACAGAGAGCTGAAACTTAAAACTAGATTGAAAATAGAAATTTAATTAAGATAAATTAAAGTGTAGTGATGCAATTAAAGTTTTACAAAAGTTGAGTGTGACAGAAGAATTTCTCCCTTCAGAGTATGAATTTTGCATTGGGTTCGGCTACACGTACACGGGGTGTACACTCTGATGTACACGTCCCTCACTCGGTCCACATGCCCGGATACAAATGTTTTTGACCTTTTGCATTTGCATTTCAGTACACATATTACATATATTGCGTACATATATAATTTGAAT